AGCAATACCACTGAGCTCTACCACTGGACTATACCACTGAGCTATACCACTGAGCTACACCACTGGGCTATACCACTGGGCTATACCACTGAGCTATACCACAAACTGAAAGGCTGAAATGCCAGTGACCAGCAGATGGAGCCATATTCTTTGCTCCATTCATTTCAGTGAGAGGAATGGCATAAAAGCTTAAATATCTTACATATCATAATATATTTCGCCCGCTTTATCTTATATATAAATATCTTAAAAAGTTGAAAATATTTGAACACCAAAAGTCATAGCTCCATAGTCCTGAGATAGATGAACATTTTGATACCTTATTTACTGAAATAGGCTGAAAGGCGTAAGAGTAGTTAGATGCAGAAAAACGTACGGAATAAAGAATAATAAAGGGGAACAGGAAAACAATAGCTATTGTTATTAGTTATTGTTACTGTTATAATAGTTATTGTTATAGTTAGGTTTCAGGAGTGGGTAGTTTCTAACGTCATTAGCTCTAGCTCATTATAATATTCCAGCCTTTCACCTGCATGTTGCCCCCCCCCTCAGCTTACTCCCCTATCTGTGGAGACGTCGTGGTAGCGTGAGTGTTAGCATGGTAGCGTTAGCATGGTAGCGTTAGCGTTCTAGCGTTAGCATGGTAGCGTTAGCATGGTAGCGTTAGCATGGTAGCGTTAGCATGGTAGCGTTAGCATGGTAGCGCTAGCATGGTAGCGTTAGCATGGTAGCGTTAGCATGGTAGCGTTAACATGGTAGCGTTAGCGTGCCGACGTGGGCACGCCTCCCTGAAGAAGTGGGTGGATTGCCTGTGTCTCATTTGCATTTAAAGAGACAGGCACTCCAAAGCGAGCGCTCTGAACGGGGCTGTTTTGGGTTAGGGCTAGGGTTAGGGTTAGGGTTAGGCAGGGGGACTGAACTGCTATTGGGCTTCATCCTTATGGGATTTTGACCAAAGCTTGTCACAGACATTACATTAGGACACCAGGGAGCTAGTTTAACTTGTGGAAATAGGGTATAATATGTCTCCTTCAAAATATAAAGCTCTTTATGCATTTAGCAGATGATTTTGTCCAGAGAGAATCACAAAGTAAAAAAAAAATACTTGTGTACTTCACCGTTTGGGAATCAAACCCCTGGTCTCGCCTGGCTTTGTATTAGACTGAACAAACAAGGGATAATACCAAAGGCATATCTTATATTTGGACATTTTTGCAGAAAGGAGTGTCATATCTCAAATCCTCAGCGGAGCCCAGCTCCGCTCTGTTCTCCTTTTTTGATGTACATCTTAAACTTATGACCTTCCAGGCTGGCACTGGGACTGCCCTGTGTGTGGACTCAGAGTTCTGTTGAGCTGCATGTGCGTCTGTCGTGGCTCAGAGTGGAGGAGAGGCTGAAATGTAATATTTTGTGTTTCCTGAGGAATATTATTGTTTGTGGAAAACCTTCTCTTTTGTTTAGCTTTTTACATTATGTGAGAAATGAGCACAATTATTCAACCAGGCAGGCTTGTTCTGGTCATTTGACGCGACCCATTGGGAGAACAGAAGCAGTGTGCAGGTCTAGGGTTAGGGTTAGGGTTAGGGTTAGGGTTAGAGTTAGGGTTAGGGTTAGGGTTAGGGTTAGAGTTCAGAGCTGAGACTCTGTGGAACAAACTGCCTCACAACATCTTGACTGCTACTACGAAAGGTGCATTTAAAACATTTCCAAAAAAATATTTTGTTGAAAGCCGTAATTCATGAATATCTGTGTAACAGATTGTAATGTAAGGTGAAATGAATAGAAAATAAATAAACAATAAACCTTCCGTGAAGTTAGAAAAGGGTAAATAGGGTATGATATGTCTCCTTTAATATGCGTGCTGACGTCAGGTCGTGGCCCCCCCGCGGCGGCCCAGGCGTCCGTTCCTGTGCAGGCAGAGCAGCGGTGACACCAGCGCGCTGGGCAGGTTCAGGAAGCCGGTGGCGGCCGCCAGAACGCAGGCCAGGCGCCCGTCCACGGCGGGCGAGTAGTCCAGGGCGGTGGTGGCCAGCAGGGCGCAGAACCACAGCCACACCGCGGCCCAGATGGCCGTGACCGTGATTAGCGCGCGGCGCCGGCCGCGGCCCGCCCGTTCCGCCCGCCCGGCGCCAGAAACCCCCCGCCTGAGCACCAGCAGCACGGACGCGCTGCAGAAGGAGGTGACGCCCAGGAGGAGCCCCAGCACCACGAAGGTGACCACGGCCGAGGCGAGGAAGTCCAGCTCGCGCTGCAGGTTGGCCGCGGCGAGGCTGAGCAGC